TCACACCATCCTCCTGCCATAGTCTCTAGAGCACTAGCATTACAGGTGTGCGCCACCACACCTGACTCCTCTATATGGTTTATGCCTAAATTCATATCAACTTTTAAAAATATTTTTATTTTTATTTTATGTGTATGCATGTACTGCCTGAATGTAAGTGCACCCATGTCATGTAATGCCCATGGAGGACAGAAGAGGGTATCGGATCCCCTGGAACTGGAGTTATGGACAGTTGTTACCTGCCATGTGGGTGGTGGGATTTGAACCCGGGTCTTCTGCAAGAACAGCCAGTGTTCTTAACCGCTGAGCCATCTCTCCAGCCCCAATTCATGTCAATTTTTAAAAATGTAAATCTTATGTTCTGAAGTTCTGTTTCACAACAATGTGAACATTATTTAAACACCATTCACCCATGCACTCAAGAATAATCAAGTTGGGGGCTGGAGAGACAGACAGCTCAGTGGTTAAGAGCACTAGCTGCTCTTGTAGAGGACCTAGCTTCGGTTCCCAGCACCCACATGGTAGCTAATAACCATCAATAATTTCAGTTCCAGGGGATCTGATACCCTCTTCTGACCTCCATGAACATTGCATGCACTAACAAACATGCAGGCAATACATTCATACACATAAAATATTTTAGAAAATAGTCAAGTTGGTAAAACCTTTTTTAACATTTTATTATTTTTATTTTATGTGTATGAGTGTATTGCCTGCATGTAGGTAGGTGTACCCGCGTTGTGCACTGCCATGGAGGTCAGAAGAGGGAGTCAGATTCCCCTGGAACTGGAGTTAAGGACAGTTCATAGCCTCCATGTGGGTGCTGGGAATCGAACCCAGGTCCTCTGCAAGAGCAGTCAGTAACCACTGAGCCATCTCTCCAGCCCCCTAGTTGTTTTTTTTTTTTTTTTTTTAAAAAAAAAAAAACTATAATAATAAAAAAAATTCATACTACAGAGGCTGAGGCAAGAGGTTTGTTTGAGTCCAAGAGTTCAAAGCTAGCCTGGGTGACATAGTGAGATTCTAACTCAAAAATGCCAGAAACCCAAACCAAACCAAATATACACACAATAAAACCACCCTTCCCTTCAATCCAAATAGAATTTAGTTTGATATTTAATTAATAAATGTTAAGATTCAGATAGCCCTTCCCCCTCACCAACAGGATCCCAAGGACTTCTCATGCTCCTGAGAAAAGGGAACCTAGCTGATAAGCACCTTGGCCTTTGAAGTCAAGAGAAGCAGACTTTTCTCCACTGTTTGGCCAACACAGCAGGCTTCCCCTTTGATCTCTAAAGAGGACAGGTTTTAACAGTCCTGCTCTCCCACTTCCCCCCACCCAACTTTAAAAAAAAAATACATCTTCCCACCTTCTGCAGGAAGCAGAAGCCTCCCCTTTAAAAAGACCCCAGCTCAAGACCCGGGCAGACATTTTCCCTGCCCGGAAGGGAATCTGTCCCATGTGTTCCTTTGCTAATAAACCCTATTTTGATGGAGTTTTAGCTGTGCCTCAGTGCCTCATCATCCATTCGCTCGTTCACCACCAACTTTTTACCTATCAATAAATACATCAAAATGAAAAAATTATAAAGTTTATGAACTTACAAGAAATAAATTTGCTGGGCTGGAGAGATGGCTCAGCGGTTAAGAGCACTGACTGCTCTTGCAGAGGACCCGGGTTTGATTCCCAGCACCCATATGGTGGCTACTAACTGTCCTTAACTACAGTTCCAGGGGAATCCAAAGCCCTCTTCTGACCTCCGTGGCACTGCACGACACAGGTGCACTCACATATATGCAGGCAATACACTCATAAACAAAAATAAAAATAATAAAAAAGAAAAGAAATAAACTTGCTTCAAAAGATTCTTAAATTGGAATAAAAGTTCAGTTCAACTAGATGCCACTCACACTTGAGCAAAGTGACTCAAAAAAAGTCAAACAAAAGGATGTGGGTAGGCATGGTTGCCCATGCCTTTAATTCCAGCACTTGGGAGGCAGAGGCAGATCTCTGCAAGAACAAGGCCAGCCTGGTCCACATAGTGAGGTCCAGGCCAAAAATAAAAAAAGGTGACAGAGCAATTTTGCAAATGTAAATTTAAACAGTGCCATCAAAAGAGGATCATAAGCAGAAATATTTTGAAAACAAAACTTGCTTTGTACAATTTATGGTACAATTCACAGTGAATAAAGAAGTTCATTAATATTTATGTGCCCAGTACAAACTCACGCTCTCCTCTCTCCTCTGTGTCTCTCTTTAAACAACCAACTGATCTCCTAGAGTAAGACAATGGATTAGAAGCTGTCTCCCCATGACTCTGTGAATGAGAAGGGTCAGGGTAACAAAGAGCAGACTTTATTTCAAAGTGAAGAGAGGAAGAACACCAGGAAGCATGAAAGGTGGATATGGATGGAGGAAAGCAGCATGGAGAAACAAGGCGGCCACCGCAGAAAGCAGAAAACCTGTGGCTTCAACGCTGCTCCCTAGGGAGGCAGAGGAAACAGAAACTGGAGGAATTCACTACTAGTACACCTGCCCTATACCAACAGTAACGGGAGCTGGGAATGCTGAGCACATTTGGAATTCTAGCACATATCGGAGGTTGAGGCAAGAAGGTAGAACACAAATTTGAGGACAGCTAGGCTACATAGTTAGAGCTCCAGGCCAGTCAGGCTACATAGCAAGTCTGCCTCAAAACAATAACAAAAAGTTCCAGGCCATCCAGAACTACACAGTACATTATAAAGAAATAGTACTTCTAAGTAAATTCAAAAGTCAGTATTAACTGCATTTCTGATTTTTTCTATGACTTTAAAATCACAACAAACAATGCTAAATCTGCTACTAATTTAAAATGAAGCCGTCACATGTGACCACAGCAACACAGGATGGTAAAAAGGAAAAGTGCAGGTGTGCACAAGCAGGGATGTCACACACAATAAAAGCAAAGCTAGCGTTATTCCTATTAAGCTGTTATACCTGAAGATGATGACCATAATACCTAAGATAACCACTGAGAAATTAACTAAAAAATAAAGGGAAATGAGAGGGACTCAAAATAGTATGCTACAGAGAGATCAATCATACACCAAAGGCAACGGCAGAAATGGAAGAACTGAAATTAAAAAACAAGAACCGAAACACCATAAACAAGGACCAAGATGGGAAAAGTTCTTTCCTATTGGTAATTATTTTAAATGTAAATGGATTATACTTAGTTAAAAGGCTGTGGTGTGGATGATTCTTGGAAACAGTATACCAAAATGAAAAAAGACCAATGTGGGGCCTGAGGGTAGCTTGGTGGTAGAGTGCTTGCCTCACATGCATGATGCTCCAGGTTCAATTCTCAGTACTAGCAGTGGAGGGGTAGGAGGGAAGAGCCCGATAAGGGTCACATATTGTGTAATTCTATTTACATGACATTTACTACAACAGGCAAATCCTTAGAGACAGAAGGCAGTTTACTGGCTGCCAAGTGCTTGAGGGAAAGGGGAAGTAGGGTACGGAGTGTTGCCTAGATAGTGATGATGGCTATAAAGCCTTGTGTTATTTAATTTAAAATGGTAAAAACCTAAAAAAACAAAAAAACAAAAAGAGTTTCTTTTGAGACAAGGTCTTACTAAGTAACCCAGGCTAGTCTCAAACCCACAGCAATCCACCTAGCTCAGCCTCTGAAGTACTGTGACTATAGACATGGACCACCATACCCAGGTCAAAAGTGCAAGCTTTGTGTATATTGTCACACAAACCACCTACCTGGGTCCTTTTTTTCCTCTGTGTTATTCTCAAATTTTAATTACTTTAAAAAGCCAATTAACATATACCATCGTCATATCTACCAAAAGCTCAGTTATGAGAAGTACTGCTTATAGTAAATTGAGCATCTTCTATCTCCTTTCCTCTAGGCCAGTGGTCTCCGTGCAGTCCTACTGACAAAACATTTTTGAGCACAAACTGCCAAAATAGATATTTATAATTATTTTGCTACCCGTGTATTCTAAAATATACAAAATAGAAAATTTGAAAGGTTGAACTCAATATAAATTCTTATTTATTTTCCATATTCCAATGTGCAGAGCATCTCTCCTTGGAGAACTCTTCTCTGGGCACCCTGATTTTGCTTTTCTTGTTTTTGAAACAAGGTCTCATTAAGTAGCCCAGGCTGGCCTTGGACCTCGATCCTTTCTTCAGCCTCCCAAGTGTTGGGATCACTGGTGTATAGCAGCACACCTGGCTCTAGTGTGACCCTTGGGTGAGCTTCCTGCTTACCAACTCCCTTATCTAAGCAATGTGATCCTAACAGCCCTTGACCATTGTGGAATCTACCACAAGAGGTGTGTGTGGAAGGCTGTTATCCTGTGATGTCTTCTTATGAAGACAGATTAGGACACTTCACTTAGGTGTTCATAGCTGAAATAATTGTGATGTTTTTTGAAACCTGGCTTGCTTTTATAATATTAAATGATCACAAAAGTCCATCAACAACTAACTATCTGCTAGAATACATACTACCAAACTTGTAGCTTATTTCTAGCAAACACATGTACCACGTGTGTATTTATCTCTCTTCTGGTTTCAACTTATTCATCACTCAGTTCTTTTTTTTTTAAATAATGTTGCGGCTTACCCCACCTTCAATTTTGGTATCCTAATTCTTCATATACTAAAAATATTGTATTATTTGTGTGTGTATATGTGTATAAGCAACTTAAATATTTCTTGAAAGATGGGAGAATATAATAAAAAACAAGACAAAACCCCAGCAATGCTGTGCACGACAGAGGCCACGCTAAGCTTGAAGCTCCCCATGTTGGGGGCGCCTCTCACTTGGCAGGTTCCGAGGCATCTGGTGCAAAGCGCTGTGTCCAAAGAGTGATTGGCAAGCATGTGTTGGTGGAAAGAATGACAAGAAACAGTACCGCTGTGCTACACTGTCTCACTCTTTCCCAGCTGGGAAGAAACATTATAGTGAGGAAAGGGCAAACAACTTTTTTTTCACTTATATGTCGAGATTGACTAAAAAGTCCGTGAAAAAGGCAGTCACGTTGCCAGCCGGACTTTGTAGCCATATACCTGGGTGCCGTCTTCTGCTGTGCTCAGAAGTCATTTGGGGATGGCCTGTGTTCAGTGTTTCCTTGTGCTTGCACCGCTTCTCCGGATATCTCCTCTGTTGGCTGGTGACGCTGCTGTACAATTTAATTTGCCTCAGTAGCAAATACAGTCTTTCATGGTTAAAAGCTTGGACCAACCGAGCCGTGTCAATAGTGGAAATGGAGCTACTCCTTTTGTGCAAAGTCACCTCTCTATCAGTCTGGGTCAATACATCGGGAGTCCAGAGGAGAAGCAGTACTGGAAAGACAGTGCGTGGGACTGTCTGTGAGCAGCTCACTTTCCTCGGAGGGTCTGGAGTCTGAGGAGGTGTTGCTGATAAAATTAAAATCTGGCTGTTTTCTCAGGATGTATTTATTGAGTTTAATTTGCTCAGTCTTAATCTGACTAGAACTCTTACCCTGCTGAGGAGAAAGCACTCTGCTTGTTCCAAGGTAACCCGCATTTTGGGGGCCCTTCTCAAGGCTCTTACACCACTTCTGCTTCTGTGTCCTGTTTCTGCTGCTGCTGCCTCCCACCGCCCTGCCCCCTCGCCCTGTGTACCCCTCTGCTATCATCCTGTGTACTTTCTGAGAACTGGAGTGAATGTGTGATGGGATTCTGAAGCAGTTTAGCCAAACAAGTCATTCCACCAAAGATAGTTCCTTATCATAGATATCAGGCGGCTTCTACTGTTTCTGTCTCTCTCGTACAAGTTCCAGAGCTCATTCAAACTCACAGTACACTGAGTTGTTAGTTCTGTGGTGACCTTAAGTTCCTTTTTTGGGTCATTTGTCTGTTTTTTGCTTTTTGGATGATCTTTGGACTGGCTCTTGGTAGTATGCATTTTCTCGTTGTCACCTAAATTCAAATTTATGCTGAGGCTCTTTATTCTGGTGTAGTCCATTTTGTCCACACTTGGGCGAGGGGGAGGAAGGCAGCTATGCTCTCTGTGCGTGTCTGAATGATGGTGGAAGAAATCCTTGCTAGAACGCTGCATGGAAACACTCCTTCCCAAACACTCATGGCAGATATCTTGCTCATGGGCAGGTGCACTGGATGATGGAAGTAAAACTTTGCTGATCTGAAGATAGAGTGAGTGGTATTTTCAAATGATGAATTGTCATTCAGACTCTGAAGGGGAAAAAATACTTTTGAAAGAATTTAGAAAGCTATTCAGACTCTGAAAAGAGGGAAAAAAGATTTTGAAAGAATTTAGAAAACTATTTGTATTTACTTTAGATATAGAACAAAGACTAAAGGAAAGAGTGATTTATATCGAGTTTTAGAAAATCCACTGCCGTATTTAGCAGCCAGACTGGCATGGGTCAAAACATCTGAATTCTGGACTGAACTCCACTATCAGATGACGGAGATCAGTTGGTAGTGTGCTTGCATAGCGTGCAAGATTCCCTGAGTTCAGTTCTCAGCACTTTATAAATTGGGTGTGGTGGTACAGGTCTGTAATTGTAGCGTTCCGGAGGTGGGGACAAGAGGATTAGAAATTCCAAGGCATCCTCTGCTACATAGCCAGTTCAAGGCCAGTATGGATTACATCAGATGATGTCTCAAATGAAACAAAACAAAACACAAATATGAACTGAACTCTGCCATCATGTGACAGAACTGTGTAACTTCCAGTATGTCACTTTAGTTCTCCACATCATAAATAAGCTGCTTTATGGATTTACCACCTGCTCTATGCAGTCTGCTTTTGTGTGTGTCCTTAAAAAATCCTTTTTTTAATTAAACTTTTTAAAAATTATTTTTATTTTATGTGTATGAGTGTATTGCCTGCATGTAGGTAAGTGCACCCATGTCATGCAATGCCCGTGGAGGTCAGAAGAGGCTGTCAGATTCTCTGGGACTGGAGTTACGGACAGTTGTTAGCTGCCATATGGATGCTGGGATTCGAACTCGGGTCTTCTGCAAGAAGAACCAGTGTTCTTAACTGCTGAGCCATCTTTCCAGCCCTAAAAATAAATCCTTTTTTTTTTGTTGTTGTTGTTGTTGTTCTTTTTGGGACAGGGTCTCCCTGTAGCCCCAGCTGTCCTGGAACTCACTATGTAGACCAGGCTGGCCTTGAACTCACAGAGATCTGCCTGCCTCTGCCTCCTGAGTGTTGGGATTAAAGGCATGTGCCACCATGCCCAGCTCAAAATTAATCCTTTGTTAAAAAAAAGTAATCCGAAGATTGACATGAGCCCTGAAAACTCCTTTTTCAGTGAAAAAGCCTTAGACTGCCTCATCACTAAGTGGGTAGAGTGTAAAAAAGTTTTGACATGTTTTAAAACACTTCACAAGCCTTTTCTGTGAACTTTCTTCACTTTTCCCCCAATTCTTTTTATTGTGGTAAATATATGTATTGTATGCTATGGCACATAATCTAGTACCTTCCAGCATCACTTTTTGACAATCATTAGTCTCTTTGAAAATAGGCATTTTTGAATGCAATCATATATTACAATTTACTACTCTGAATGCCTGTGTTTCTCTGAGCTGCACATTAAAACTTCATCCCTAGTGCAAGACTATTAAGAGGCAGGACTTTTGGGCGTGATCAGGTCATAAAAGCTCCACACACAGGAATAGGATTGATGTCCTATGAAAGGATTTGGAGGGGCCTGCTTCTGCTGTTATGTGAGGACTAGTCTAAGCCCCTGCCATCCATAGAGGGATAGCACATCAAGGTGTCATCTTGGAAACAGAGACTGAGTTCCCACCAGTCAACAACTATGATAGCATCTTGAAGGGGGACTGTGAGAAATAAGTCATTACTGTTTCTCCAGAGCCCTACTTCTCTTCCTTTCAGGGCCTTGGCTCCCTTCTATTCTATCTTTCATCTCTCTCCTATCTTCAGGCGGTTCCTCTTTACTGGGCTATCCAAAAGCATGACAGTATCATTAAAAAAAAGCCCTCATATCTTCCTCCAGGTACTGGCTCATTCCTCTGTTCTTCACAGTCAAGCTGCTAAAGTAGAAAAATGTATATTTTTGTGTTTTCAACCTCTTTCCCAGCCCAATTCTCTCTTCAAATTACTCCTCTGTGTATGGCCACAGCATTGAAAACTACCAAATTCAATGGTCTCCACATACCACCAACTCCAGAACATTCTTGCATTCTATCTTCCCTTTCACTGTGACCTCTCTTCCTGGTTTTTAGAACCATTTCAGTGCCAATTCTTAAATCGATCTTTCAGCCTATTATTTCTCCCTTAACCACAGACTCATATACTTACCTGTATATGTGATATATCAAATGCACAGCCACCTTAAAATTTAAATGTCTTTAATTGAATTCTTACCTTATTAGGAAATCCGCTTTAAAAAATTAGAATAAAAGAGTGTAGCAATATTTCAGGATTAAAAATGTGTTTAAAAAATTTAATTTATATACTTGCAGTAAATAAAAAACAATTCTAACAAAAATATAAACCCATAAATAAGGATATAT